CTTCTGCCTGAGCTTGTCAGCGGGAGAATAAATGTCACCCCAGAGCTGTTTACAGCCCTAACTCCTCCTGAGAGCTTGGAAAGTGCCTGCTGATATCAAGTTGGAGTGAAAATGAGTTTCCAGTGCAACACACCAGTCTGTGATGGCACCCACTGATATCTCGCCTTGGCTTAACCAAGCTGTGCCTTTGCCTTGCTGGTGTCTCCCGTGGGGAGTGAGAGCCATGCAGAGATACCCCAGGCAACAAATGGGTCTCTTTGTGTCTGAGCATGGCTTCGAAGAGCAAAATGTGTGGGAATGTCATTCAGAAGAGACCAGGAGTGACCCTATTCATTAGGGAGGACTTGGTGTGAGTTTTTAGTGGGCACGGTGGTATTGGCTCAAAGGTTGATGTTCTTGGAGGTCTTTTCCAACTTTAGTGATCCTGAGATTCTAAGAAAGAGACATGTGCTGGAAGGGTTTTTTTTCTGAATTGGGAGTTCACCTGGGTTCAGAGAGTGCCTGGCACCAGCCTGCTGCCATTCATTTCTTCCCTCAGCCAAACCCAGTCCCATCCCAGAGCCCTGCCAAAGCTCTGGAAGTCATGTTTATTCATGGAGGAAAGTTATTCTCTGCTGCTTCCTAGATAAGCTCTGACTGTGTATTTGCTGTAAGTGGAGATAGGGCTCAAATAAATGGGTTTTATGCTCTAGTCTGCCAGTTCTGCAAACCACTGCGTGCCTGTGCTCACGAGAATTGACCTCATTTTTGTTTATTGACCTTAAGAGGGGAGAGGAGATGAGGGCCTGAGCTCTGACTCACTTTTAGCAGAGACAGTGGAAAAGGTGACCACTGTGTGCAGCTGTGGTGAGGTTTCCTAATCCACTGCAGCCAGGACTGGGTCAGTGGTCTTCAACTACATCTTCTGGGTCAGAACCTCTTAGAGGAGGGCTCTGCAAAGCCCAGTGAGGCTGGTGCAGCCTTTGCCTTGCATGTGGGGCATTTGGCTTGCAAAGAGGAAGGCTGAACTGCTGGATATAAAGATCTGAGCTCCTGTGTGTAGCCTCCAGCCCAGTCCTTGAGCAAGGCTTCAGGAGTCCACTTTGAGAGAGAGAGAGAGGTGCCCACTGGTGATTACACTAATTGCAAGGCTCACAGAGCAGGGAGGACCAGTTTGATCTGCTTAGCTGAAGGAAGGTTAAAAGGCAGCTTCATTAGAGTTGTGAAGGATTTTTTCCTGCAGCCTTCCAGAAGAAGATATTTGGCTCCAGAGAGCACTTCACCATCCACCAGGGAAGAGCAGGGCAGAGCTGAGGGTCTGGAAGTCACAGTTAAAATAATTGAAAAGGAAAAGACTCTTTATATACATATATATAAAATTGCAAGGGTTTAAAGAGTGTACCCCAATACCCAGGGATGTGGTAAGTGCTTGGAAAAGTCACACACTTATTTTTATGCTGCTTCTCCAGCCTCACCTGTGATCCTTTCCAAAGCAAAGCACAGCCCTTGGCAGTGGGTATTCCTTGGCTTTTGGTAAGAAACAAGTGAGCAGAGCAGTTCTTTTGATGGAAATGAAGTTGAAGGGTAGGTTAATTCATGACTCATTTGCACCTGCTGCATCAGGTAAGGATTGATAAACACCTCTGCATCCTTCCTACAGATACCAAGTGCAAGGGAAAAGACAACATTTATAATTAATTAATGGAGAAGCACTTACCAGTCACCAAACATGATTTAATTAGGCCAAACAACTTGTCATCTTTGTTACATCTGTGAAGACCAAATGGTACCACCAGGAAGAGAGGGATTTCCCTTTTCCAAGGCATATTGCAGCAGTTTCTGTCCTCAAATAATTTTCTTGGGTATTCATCTCTCATCCTGACATGGCTGAATGTTGCCTGCCAACCCCCAGATCCCAGCAGTTTGCCAGTCTGTCAGTGTGGGAGAATGAAAGGTATTTTCTGGAAGGGTCTTTGATAAAGGTTGTCTGTGTCCTGGGTTGGATGGAGGGGCACAAAGTTTAACCTGATGTTGTGCTGGAATGGTTACAGTGTGAGCAGCAAGAACTGGACTGCAGATCCAAACATCTTGCAGGTATCAGTCTTTGATTGTTCCAAATCTTTAAACATGAGTTATTCATGCAGGCCCTCTTCTACTCATTGGAGAGAAGAGGACATCTCTGAAAAATTACTGAACTTTAGATAACCAACACAAGAAAGACATAGAACTGTTAGAACAGGTCCAGAGGAAACCACAAAGATGCTCCAAGGGCTCTGGAGCCCCTCTGCTCTGGAGCCAGGCTGGGAGAGCTGGGGGGGGTTCACCTGGAGAAAAGAAGGCTCCAGGGGAGACCTCACTGTGGCCTTCTGGGACCTTATAAATGGTCCTTATAAAAAAGACCTTATAAAAGATAGGGAGATCTTAAAAGGACTTTATAAAAAAGATAAAAAGTGAGGTTTACATGGACAAATAGTGATAGGACAATGGTAAATGGTTTTAAATTGATAGAGGAGAGATTTGGATTAGATATTAGAAGGAAATTCTTCCCTGTGAGGGTGATGAGGCCCTGGCACAGGTTACCCAGAGAAGCTGTGGCTGCCCCATCCCTGGAAGTGTTCAAGGCCAGGTTGGACAGGGCTTGGAGCAACCTGGAATAGTGGAAGATGTCCCTGCCTATGGCAGGGGATTGGAATGGGATGATTTTTAAGGTCCCTTCCAACCCAAACCATTCCAGGATTCTGTGATCCTATGGTCCAACCAGAGCTCTGGTTTCCATTGGCTTCTTTAGGTTTACACTCCTGATTTTAGATGCGTAAATTTAAGAATATGAATCCCACCTTTAAAACCTGGAGCATTCCAGGGAGCTGCACAAGTACTTTCAGCATGTCTGGGGCAGCAATAAGGAAGAATGGTGGTGTAAGATCTAACAGGCTCTGTAAAGATCTATTTACAGAGGAAATAATTTTTAAAGATACACTTTATTTGTCCTGCAAGGCCGGTCTTGCATATCTTCACTTTCATTTAATCAAAGAAAGCTTTTGTTACAAAATTGAACACCTAAAAGCTTTCTTCATCCATCACAGGTGGTGGTGAAAAATGTCAACACAGAAAAGAGATACAGATCACAAAAATGCTCCAGCTCTATAATTCAGGATATTTAAAAAGCCATCTGATAATATCACCTTGTACTTTATTTTACATTATAACCTGTCCTGAGGTTATGGGCTCACTATAATTTATTGATGTTCAGGGAGGAAAAGATTGTAGAGCATGAAATATCCCATCCTGAAATCATCTGTTTTCCATGGGAAGAATCTTTAATATCTTAATACTTGTGGAGCTGCTGGCTGTTTGGTGGCAGATAACTATGAGGCTGTTAAAACTGAGCTTTGCACCTGATATTAGGAACCTGAAAACTGAATCCTAATGAACTCTTACAGGATGAGAAAGATACCATCACTTATTCCATTTTTCAGGCTCTGATAAACTCACCTCAGGACTTCATTTAAAAAGTTCCGTTTGTTCGTGAAAGAAGGGAGGAAAAAACCTGCAAAAAAAACCCACTTTGAAATAAGCTGAGGGTTCTTTTTCAGCTTCAAAGCATTTTTTGTGTGCTCTCCTTATTGATCTGAGACAGCACATTGCCTCGGTGTGCACAGGCTGACGATGACACCAGCCCTTTTTTTATAGCTCAAGTAGTAAAAGATGTTTTAAAGGAGGAATTTCAGAGCAGGGTGTAATTACCCAGAAGTGCAGTTTGACAGTGGTTCTCACAGCTCCCTTTGCTTGCACGTGAAAGGTGTTTTCTCAGCGCTTCCTTCTCGCCTCCCTGGTTCTCCTGTTGGGCTGTTGACCTGAACAGCAGCATTTTAATCACATTTGGGGAAGTGTTGCAATCTAATGGGGCATCACAAATAACTGAGAGCAGAGATGCTGGGGAAAAAAAAGGAGTTCTGTTGACAACCCACCTGTGTAACCCAGGCAGCAATCTGTTGGAAACAACCCAAACACCTCCCTGTTGGAAACTTAAAGGAGGGAAAAGAGATGTTTTCAAAATTCTACTAGGAACTCTAAAATAGGTAACATATTAAGGCAAAAGTGTATCTGATTTCTTTTTTTTTTTTTTGTTATTTAATTCAAGTCTTCCAACTCCTTTTGGCTTCAGTGTTACTGATACATTATTCAACAGTGCAGCCTGTGTGGGGTATTACTAATGCCTTTTGAGAAATAAAAGGGTGAAATCAGAACAACATTATAACTCTGTAGAAAGGACATGCCATGTTTTTCTCCCAGGAAGTTTTTTATTCTATCCAGAAAAATCTTCAGAAATGCCTCATTTTTACAAACCCCCGTGTTTTCTCCCTTCATTCCAAGCTTGGATAGGTCAGGATGTCTCCCACCTCTCACCACCCTTCCACAGAGAGCATCTCCTGGCCACAGCACTGTCCCTCCTCAACCTACAGCTGTGTTTTGTGCCTTCCCCCCTTCTGAGGAGAAAAACTCCTTCTGGTGAAGGGATTTGGCTCCTGATCCCTTGATTATCATCCCTGTCCCCTTCCTGCTGTTCCCAGCCCCTGCCCAGTCATCCCATTGCAAGGGGAAGAAAAAACTGATGACAGAAGTTTGTGGGAAGCAGAGAAGGAAGGGGGATCGTGTCTCACATTTCAGATCAGGTGTTTTAATGCAACAGGGAGAGATAAGGGCAAGGAAGAGAGAGACTTGATTAGGCATTTCTGCCTTTTTAATCTGTTCTCTACCAACTCTGATTTGCCTGCTTCTTACACCAAATTGCTGTTCTTTCTATGCTGATTTCTGGAAAATTATAGACACCACCAGTTCTGAATTTCAGGGACTGGGGTAGCTGAAAGCTGCATGTTTTAAATGAAATGTTTCAGTGCCTTTCATTCCAAAAGGTGCCTGCACTGAGGTGATGGGCTCCACACACCTGCTCCAGTCCCTCTGCTCCATCCAGCAGACACAACTCACATGTGTCCTACCACCTGCTTTTCTCTTCTCCCCAGGTTGCAGGAGGCAGTGGGACAACATCACGTGCTGGCCTGAGGCAGAGGTGGGGGAAGTCGTGGTACGGTCGTGCCCAAAGTACTTCAGATTCCTCACCTCTTTTCTTGGTAAGCAAATCCCCCAAACCTGTTTATGGCTTCACTGCCAGTGGGGTTTCACAGCACATCACAGGGGGAAGCTCCATGGTATAATCAGAGGGAGAAACAAACTCTTTCCACAGGGTGAAGGAGGTTTCCAAGCCCTACATGATGCCCAAACCATCCGAGCATCCTCCCCGTCCTTGCAGCACCACCTCCTCTGGATCAGAGGGATGCAAAAATAGCTCCTGGTGAAATCCAATAATATGGATGTTGTGCAGTGAGAACTGAATAAACCTGTGTGACAGTATGTTTGTTGTACAAAATGAGCACTTTAGCACCATCATTAATTAAGTCTCTGACAGAAAACAAACAAGCTGAAACTGCACAGAATAAAGGATTATTTTTTTTTTCCTGCTGAAATGACAAATTTGGCCACAGGCCAAGAAATTTAGCCTGACAAATAACGGGCAGAGAAGGTTAATGGAGAAAATCTCTTAACTCACTGGGGTGTTTGGGAAGGCTTGGTTTAAAATTCAGGTCTCAGGGGGCTGTGCAGCAACAGGATTGATTGTCTCCTGATAGTTTATGGTCACTTTTTACTCTTTTTGTTATGGAATCCCTGCAGGCCTCCACAGAAAATTGAGCCCTTTTGCATTGGAGATTATGGATGGAGCTGATAAGTCTCCACTTTTAGAGCCTTGCAGTCTGAACACACATGAAGGACATGGATGGCAGCAAGGATACAATATCATCCCTGTTTAACAGGCTAGAGCATTGCACTCATTAACCAGCTGATTACATGCCTTGCCCAAGGCCACACCAAAATTCTTTGTAGACTCAGAAGGGAAATCCAAAATCCCCAGAGTCCTATCCTAGTGCTGACCTCCCTGTTTCCAAAATTCCCTCCTAGTTCATCACTCCTGTGTCAACACCCAGGGAGAACAGGCAGAAGCTGCTGTAATATCACATCTTGCAGGACAAGACCCCTGTGCATTGGTTCAGCCATGTGGAATAATTGCCTGCTGTTCCTGCTTTTTGCCCTCTCCCAAGCACAGCACTCACTCCCTGGGTTTTAGAGGCCCAGCAGAGTTACTTAATCAGGGAAAAAAAATCTCTCCAAGAAGTTTTCCTAATGCATCATCCCACCAGGGCATAGCAATGAGGAAAATATTGTATATATTTGGTCATATATATATAGGGCAAGCATTGGAATGGGCTGCCCAGGGAAGTGGTGGATTCACTGTCCATGGAAGTGTTCAAAAATATAGAGGTGGCATTTAGGGACATGGTCTAGTGGTGGACCTGACAGTGTTGCATTAGTGGTTGGACTTGATGATCTTAGAGGTCTTTTCTAACCTTAATGATCCTATGATTCTATTTTATATACATACCTATATATATATATATATATATATATATATACATAAATCATTGTGGCTATGTTGAACTTAAGCTAAGGAAAGTGGGATGCCTTTAATTCTGTGGGAGGATGTGTGTAGGTACCTGAACAGCTCTTTAGGTGTCATGTGCTGTGCTGATGAATTCTGTGTTGAGTGTAGTAGAAATGCAGGTACTGAGCTCACAGATGGGTACCTCCACTAGAAACACTAGGGGCTCCATTCAGGGTCCTAACCATGAGCATCTGGTGCTATTTGAGATGCACTGGAGGATCCAGAAAGATTTCTCAGCTGGTGCTAAGATTACCTGTATTTAGGAAACCAGTTTCCAACCTGGAATGGCATTTGTATCGACTGGTTTTGGAGTTTTCCATAAGTAAACCTATCTCTGAGCTGGTTTTACAGTCAGAGGTGAGAAGAGGACTTCTGAGAGGTGCAGTTCAGATGGTTTTTAGACTGACTTCGGGATGAGTTGGATAACATCAATAAACCACATATTTCTCTCCATTTACAACAGAAATATTGTGGAGTGGCTCTGGCAGATGGGAACATCTTCCAATCCTGGTGAATCCCAGCTCTGCAGAGCAAAAGTGCTCCATCTCCTCCTGTAAACAGAGCAACTGATGCCCTTCCCAAAGCAGAAAGAGCAGCTTTGATTTTCTCTGAGCCATCCACTTTGTACAGCCACACACAACAGTGGGAAGCAGGGATGGTCTGACATAAAGGCAGGGGAAGATTGCCTCTCGTTTTATGGGATTTGTTGCAAAATTAATGCCATCAAAGTTTGTGGAGCAGTTCTTCCTTTGTAGCAGTCAGTACCACTGAGTAGCTTTCAAGGAACTCAATCATCTGGTTAATGTTTGTGTCGTCCTCTTTGATCCCTTTGCAGGAACATGAAAGCTTCTATCAAGCTGTGAGCCAGAGAAAACCTTTTTGTGTATTTATAGCAGGAAAAGGGTGAAATACTGGGAAGCAAAGAGTTAATGTCATTTTCCTGCCTAGCAGAAAATATGCTCTTCAAATGACTAATATCCCATCTCATGGAAAATAAAGGATAAAATATCTCGTGGCATTTAGGAACCTTAAAATGCCTGCCATAGTCCTGATGTCATTTGACATTGAATTTTTATGGCATTCACGGCTTCAGAAAATTCTCATTATTTCATGACATTCGTCACTACCATGTGAAGGAGACGGATGAGAATATTTTGGGCACCTTCTGTTAATGAAGTGCATTACTTGCTGTCGCTTGACCAGAGCGTTCCAGCTTTCTTTTAACACATGGAAGATGACATTTGTAATAGGGATTTATTTCTCACGGTTTCTCCAGAAGCAGATTGTCCATCATGCACACGTGGAACAGCATAAATTAGAACTGACAGTCTTTAAGCTTCAATTGTAAGATTAATTGACTTAAAGAGGTGGGGGTGGGCATAACCAGTCTCTGGAATCCCACTCACTGAGGTGAGATCCTTCTGAGTTTTGGGCTTGCCAAACTCTTTTTTTTCCTCTAAATTTATTTCCACTCTCCTTTCCCATCCCTCATGGACACTTTTTGTTCTATATTGCTTTTGAAACTGGAACAAAAATTGAATAAAACGAGGGGAGGGATGAGCAGATAGCAACAGATAATGAGAAGACATCACCACTACTGTAAAAAACTCAAAAATGAGCCAGACCCACTGTTTATTTGCTGCAATGCTCATTTAAAAGGAAACAAGCAGTTGAGGGCACTTGTTGTGGAGGTTTGCTCACTGAGAGCCCTCGACCTGCTCAGGTGCTCTGCTGTCCAAATGTGCCTTCATATAAAAAAGCAGAATTACCTGGAGAAAAGGAGGCTCAGGGGAGGCCTAATCAGTCTCTGCAGCTCCCTCAGAGGAGGCTGTAGCCAGGTGGGGGTCGGTCTCTTCTCACGAGTAACAGGCGACAGGACAAGAGGAAACGGCCTCAAGTTGCACCATGGGAGGTTTAGATTGGATGCTGGGGAAAATTTCTTCACTGAAAGGGTGGTCAGATGTTGGACCAGACCTCCCAGGGAAGTGGTGGCCTCACCATCCCTGGAAGTATTCAAAAACCATGTAGATGTGGTACTTGGGGACGTGGTTTGCTGGTGGGGTTGGCAGCGCTGGGTTAATGGTTGGACTCGATGGCCTTAAAGATCTTTTTCCAACCTAAAGAATTCTATGATTCTTTTATTCCATGATGTATTTGCAATTGAGGTGTCCCAGTACTTGTGCCCCACTCCTCTGAAGGGCTGGTGTTGAGAAGGCTTTTTGATCAGCAGCTGAACCTCTCCACCACCCTCCAGAGCACCCCAAGGATACCCCTGCACACCACGGAGAGCCCTAAAGCTCAAAGCCCACTGTTACCCAGGGCTTGTGGAGTTGTTGTACATCCCCCTACCCATAAATGTGCATCTTTTTTTCTTGTGAATGTTTCCTGGATTACTGTGATTGCAGTGTCAAAAGATCTAATGGGAAATTTGTCCTAATGTTTGACAACTCTGCTTTTAGGATGAGAAAACAAACAGTTTACGAAAGGTGCCTAATTAAGGGGAACATGTGATGTTAGAAAGGGAGGAATTACCTGTATTAATTAAGGATCAAGGCTTTCACAATTAGAAAGTGCAGGAAGGGGAAAGGGAGATAAGGAAAAAAGGGAGTATTGCCCCAAAAATGGGGTGCAGGATATTTCAGGGCACTGGAAGTGTGGCTTCAATAACTGCAGGCCAAGTGATCTGAAAAACAGCAAATGAAGAAAATGAAGGGTGTGCCTGTTGTGTGATGTGCTCACACCATACCATGGATCCTGCTATGCCATTAAATCATGAAATGCAAAAATATGAAATAACGTAAAACACTAAGCAGAAATTTTATTGAAAGAATGACCTTGTGAGATCGTGGCTGAGGCAGAGAAAGCAGGTGTGGACAATATCTTGTCATGATTACCCCACAAGTTTTTCCCAGATCTAACCACTTCAGCATCTAGTTTAATGCAAGCTGTAGCTGTCTGCAAGTCTCAAGTGCTTCCCAAGAACAGTGGGACGGATCAATAACAAAAATGGAACTATTGATGTGCCAGTGGGCTCAGCAGCACCTCCAGGAGAGTAAATGATAAGAAGTGCTGTTGCTTTAATAGCTTCTGCTTGAAAAAATCAGTTTGTGACCATGGAATATGATGAGGGAGAAGCAGGACGTTGCTAATCAGAGCAGACCTTCCCCTCTGCTTTAGAGGCTGTTACAGAAAAGGGCAAGGGGAGCAGGAGGGGGTAAAAGCAAACACTCCTGAGCAATGATTGACCTTATATCTCTTTGTATGAATTCAGGCTCCCATTAAAAGCCAGTAAGAGGTTTTCTTCCACAAAGATGAAAGAGCTAAAACAGCACCTCTAACACAAACTTTCAGACGTGTCTCTGAGTCTGAAGTGTGTGTTTGAAACAGATGAGAGGCAAAAAAGAAATTAAGAGAAAAACCTTAAGAGCCAGACATAGACAACAGCCCTCTGCATTTATTCAGTCCAGTGTTTAACTCCTACCCGGATCAAACACCTTTGATAAAGAAAAAATGTTCTGGTTTTATCTTTGTTCCACTAACTCCTCCCTTCTCTCCTTCTATGTCATGAATAAACCA